AGTTATATAGAGAACAAGCAGTTTGTATGGAAGTCAAAATAGATCTAGGCCTACTAGATCTACTTTGTTTACATTTTGCTACATTTGTGAAAATTATTTCACATTAAATTATCGCTACTTTCTTCAGGTAACAAGCATTTTAAAATCATTTTCTAAAACCATTATTTACAGTTAACTGAAATTATTTTAAAATTCATGTTGGTCCTTTCTTAAAACATAAAAAATATATAGATCTATTTATTTCCAAGGCATAATGTGCATTAAAGATTTGACTTTTGACGTCATTGATGACGTTTGCGCATGATGTCATTAAGACCCAAAATCGCAAGACGGTGATATAGTAAAATATATCATTTCTGGATTGTTTTCATGAGATAAGAAAATGTTCGGATTAAGTTTACCAGAACAAAAACGAGTTTTTCTGGTTTGTATATTCTGTACAAGTTTCTTACATTGCATATAAAATATATGAACAAGAAAACATTTAGAATAAGAGAAGTCTGTGCATAAATGCATTCAGTAGATAAAAGCGGTTTTATGTAGCGATTTTTTCCATTTTAAAACTTGCTCCAACTACGCTACCATACCAGTAGATTTCACGCGCATTGTTTGTGACGTCACAGAAAATAAGTATGGTGGCGCCCATATTGAATCTAAAACGGCTTCCAACAGCCTCCGTTTTGGAACTTCTGAACCGTTTGGGGGTAAAGTACAAGGTTTTTACTTAAAATCCAGGTAGGTTTAAATTAACCCAATATTTTTTTTCGACGATAACGTTTAAACAATAAAGAAATCAGCGAATAGTTCGTGCTTGCTTGTAAAAAAGAAAAAAATACTATTATAAAAATACTTTGAAATTAGAGTACATGTGCAAAACAAAATCCCCTACACGCGTATTATAATTGCTTTTATTTCATTTGCATGTGTCATTTGTGTATTATTTATACGAAACAAAAAGAATGAATCGATAATGTTACTTCGGTTGTTGACGATCTTTTGTTCTACGGAAGCAAATACGGAACATAAATCTAACATTTGCTTTATTATTTTTGGTAGATCTACTCTATTTTGATTTATTTTTCGCTTTTAAAAAACTTTTACCATTGTTGGAACACAAGTAAAATTCAAAATGACTTTTTAGGAATTTCTATGTGTCATTGCCAAATATGATAATGGCAAGATCATACAGGTAGCTTTTAAAACTTGTTGTAAATTGAGAGATAATAAAACTAACAAACTTTTACTCAATATAGTCATCAAACTTTGTCTTATTTTGAATGATGGCCGTTTGTTTTAAATTAAGTTTAACTCAACAATCATTAAAACTTTAATAAAAAAAGCAATGTAATAATATCATTTGATATTTTTACTGTTATCTTATTTGGTTGATGTTTAATTCATACTTATTAATATATGTTGATCAATATTTACAAAATGTAATCTATTTGATCTCCATCAAAAAAAGTGATCTTCAGTTCCAGATGAACACGAAGTTCCTGAGTCAATCGATGACAACGGATCTTCTGTTCGAATCTTCTGTTCGTATTCGTGTTTGAGAAAAGGGATACTAAGGGATATCTGCTGCTCGGAAAAACTTTATCTTGATGTAGAAATAAATCCAAACATTCATGTTCATGTTTTAAGAAGCAAATATTTATAGCAGATGCATCTGCCTGAAAGAAAGATCTGTAACTCCCAAATTTCAAGCCTGGATGGTTATTTTGTGGAACTTTTGCTTGATAAAGTATATTGAATAGAAAAAGATCCCTTGATACTATCATGTTTTCTAGATGAGAATTTAAAAGCACTATCATAATAAAATATATACTTAGTTATCAGTGGGCAGATAATGTTAAAATTTGTCTACCTTATGTTTTGACTTACCTTCGATATTCCAATATACCATTGACATCAGTGATAAGGACGGACAGGAAAAGGCATCTTGAGGGCATAAAAGATAGGAAAAGGCATCCTGAGGGCATATAAGATAGGAAAAGACATCCTGAGGACATAAAAGATAGGAAAAGGCATCCTGAAGGCATATAAGATAGAAATACATGAACCACTTACATTCAGAAGTCCTGGTTAACCAGGAAAGAAAGGGAATAGAGAGATGCTTTTGAAAAGGTCTTTTCATTTACTTACATTTAGTGACTTAGTGTCCGAAATGACAAATACATGTTGCGACAAGGCCAGACATACGGAGACTACTATGTAACAAACAATTATGATGGCCATTGGTGTCTGATTTATGCAACCATTTGACGAAAGTTTATCTTGGTGGTTGGTACTACGGATCACAACAGCAAGCAACATTGAATTTACCAGAGCACAGTTTAGCCACCGCATCATTCCTAAGGAGACTTCAAGTATTTTACCAGTACTATTGCCTTCATTTACTCAATGAACTGTACCAGAACAGAAAGAAACCATGTTTAAAAAGTGGCTTATAAAATTTTGGAAGCCAGAACTAACAGTCCATTTCTATATACATACCAGACCTTTTCAATAAACAAAGATTCAAAACTTTTGCAATTAGTTCTGGGCCATATTTTATTTTTACTAGACTATTCCGTTTCTGGGGGGTGTCCCGGCCCGGTATAAACTGCGGGCCCAAAATCTGCCGTCAACAGAATTTTTGGCCATTTTTCTTAATTGTGAACAAAACGTTTGATTTTTCTTTCGAATTCATTACAAAATGTGCATTTTGATATACAGCCAAGTGACGCTATTTTTGACTGAATAACGATGTGAAATCAGTAAATTTTGCGGTAAATGAAATGATTTGCAGGTACCACTGGCTCTATGAACAGTCTCAATCAAAGCCAGCCTCACAATCAAAGCCAGTCTGCATTTTTTTCAATTTTGCCTTTTCAGGCATTCGTTACGGCATCCATTTTCTCTATTTTACCTTAATTGATTAAGCAGTTAATGAATAGCAACAGGGATTTTTTCAATGATTTTGGGAACACGACCCATACCCATGGCATTGGGAATTTCAGCGGTGTTTTGTTGTATTTTCTGATCGCAAGATCAGTAATTACAAAGCTGACATCCACTGTCTAACACAAAATTTCCTAACAGACCTAACAACGCAAAGTAGTTCTCACTCAAAACTGATTAAAAACCAACAATTTAAAAGAAAGAATAATTTTTAATGTAGGCATTTAACGAATTACAGTGCATTAAAAGTTTAGATTAGTCAATAGAAATATGAGGTTAGAATCACAAATATCGCGGATGAATATCTTTTTACCTAATGAAAAATGATCGGCTATTTCCGTAAAGCTTAATCAATAAAAATGCTATTTTTAGCTATGTCGATTACCGAATACTCCATAGTGTAGTACACAAATAAATCTGACCGTCTAGTAATGGAATATATACATGTCGGACTGTTTTGGCAAGAAGATTTTCGCTAAATTATTTTCATCAGTGTTAAACAACAGGTTTATCGTGAACAAATAACCTAGAAATTAATAAGGATTACAAACACGAAATGGAAATTCTCAATTTAGAATTACAATGTATTTGTTTTTATTCACGCTACATACGTATTACTTCTCCGTGGTGGAGAGGTAGCGCGCTCGTTTAGAGTGTGAGAGGCCTAAGGTTCAAATCCTAGTCGAGGCAACTTTTTTTTTTGAAGTGTCTTTTTTAAGGAAATAGCCACAATATGCAAGGCTAAAGTGTGGCTGTCATAAAAAATGAAAAATGATTTTTTGATGCAACTCTAGTCATGCAAAATTCCATATATATGTATCAATCTGAAACTGTTATAGTAAAAAAACTAAATGCAGTCGCTGCGTAAGATGCATCATAATATATAAAAATAAACTTATACAGGAAAATACATACAGATAGTCAGTATGATTTAGATTGCAAAGATCAGAAAATACCACAGAGCTTGCAGCCCTTTGAAATTGGGAAAAATGCAAGATTGAAATTTTGCAGTGATTAAATGGATGCAAGCAATTACAGTAACTGTCTATGATGGCATCTTCAAAGATTTAAGCACTATTACAGTGAGGAAGCCCTTATTTGCAAAGATTTTAGAACTTTTATTCAATATTTTTATTTTGTAACTTTCAATTGGGAATTTTTTCCTGTGGATTGGGAAAATTATATACTATTTTCAATTGGGAATATGACCCAATAACGGCTATAAAATAAGTAAAAAAAAACCTGAGCAACGTAATCATTTCAGTGTCAACGTAATCATTTCAATGTCAATACGCATTTAATTCACTTAGAACAGCAAGTAGATTGATGGAAAATGTCCTGTACCACATTTTTTTCATCAATCGATGTTTTATAAAAGAACATGTCTGAGACTATAACGCTTATTTATCTAAAAGATCAATTTTAATTGAAAACTAATTTAGCCTGTGCTGGGGATGAGAAATGCTGCACTTTTTTTTATTTTCTCCCATTCACAGACTGTCACTGAAGTGTGATGCAACTTATTTAAGAGTATGATCATAATGAAATAAGGAACTAAAATGCCATATACATGTACTTTCCTTATTATTATAACTATTATTTTAGAGATTTGTAAACATAAATGCAATTAAATTATCTCCTTAATTGTAGTTTCGCGCCTTTAAACTTACATAATTACTTTGGCTTAGGTACATTAATTTTTTCATGTTTACAAAAGGTCTATCACCATGGGTTGTTTAAGCTTGACTGTGTTCTATGAGCCTAACACCGCCGCTTTTATTGTGAATTCTACTTAAGCCGGTGCAGGGGGGGGGGGGCGGGGGAACTACATTGCACTTTTTAGTACCGTCTATGAACAGGCTCAATCAAACCGAGCAGGGGGGGGGGGAACTGAAGCAAGTATATAGATTTTATTATTGGAATTGTCTATCTATTCTAAGCATTACATGTTTTACTTGTACTCATATTGTATTTTGTACTTGGCATTTTAATTTCATACATCGATTGGCTGAGATCGTAGCCTATTCAATATCTGTTCAAAACGTGAAATGAGCCGTGTCACGACAAAACCAACATAATGGGTTTGCGACCACCATGGATCCAGACCAGCCTGCGCATCCGCGCAGTCTGATCAGGATCCATGCTGTTCGCTATCAGTTTCTCTTCTTATTATAGGGTTTGTAAGCGAACAGCATGGATCCTGATCAGACTGCGCGGATGTGCAGGCTGGTCTGGATCCATGCTGATCGCAAACCCATTATGTTTGTTTTGTCGTGATACGGCTCAAATATTTTAGGAATTATGTCGTCTGCCGATGTTTTCAAATACAAAATGGTTTAATCTTGAATTATGTTTAAGACGGTGCTAGTGGGCGTGGACGGTACCTTGCATTTTTCTATTGCCGTTCATGAACAGGCTAAGTCAAACCGAACCTGTAATATTTTTTTTTTTTCGTTTTTTGGACGTTCTTTAGGGATTTTGTTTTTCTCTATATTAGTATCACACTTGACACATGAAACTAACAAAATGTTGATTATGTAGATACCTTAAAGGCCCATTATGCCTAAGATAAGAATTAATTTCTACCTCCTCATGAAAATATAAAGTGCAAAAATGAGTTTTATAACGTTTAATTAATACTTTTTAGATGCTTGTTTCCTGAATGAAGTCGCGCTAAATGTGAATATATTTGTCATAAAAGTAGCAAAGATTGAATAATGAATTGTTCCGCACAATCATTTCGAACAGCCTCTTAAAATGTAGGTCATTTTTATCATATTTTATACTTTATATATCAATCATAGGAATTTTCTTTATTTATTTCAATAACTATGACAAATGTTTACCTACTTTCAGGGACTGGGAGCTGCATTCACAATTCTCCTGTACTTGGTATTCTCAAATTTTGATATTGCCAAAACGCTGCTACAGGAAAATATTTCGAAGTACCAAAGCGGGAACATGCTACAGGAAAACAATTCAAAGTACCAAAGCGGGAACATGCTACAGGAAAACACTTCAAAGTACCAAAGCGGGAATTTTTCACAAAGATTCAATCGCCAAACACTTTGGAGTAGACGTATTGTGAAAGAAAATGGTTGTTTGGCGTTTAAAGGTGGACAAACGTTAAGAGATGGTGTATTGCAAAATATTAAATTATCAGACATTTCCTATTGCAAAAAACAAAGGTTTCTTGTCTACAAATGTGATTCATCAATGTTTTGCGGAGGTTGGGGTGACCGCCAGAAAGGAATAATTTCAACATTCTTAATGGCCGTACTTACAAATAGAGTTTTTGTAATCGACATGGACAAGCCTTGTAAATTAGATAATATTTTACTTCCAAACAGTTACGATTGGTCTTTGTGTTACAACTTTGTTAAAACCGTGTCTAAAAGAAATTATATTCAATTAAACTTTATTGATAATTTAGGAAAGATAAAGGAAACACTACAAAGCTCTGATTTCAGCCGTACATGGCCAAAACAAGTTGTAGCTGTAAGGGTGAACAGCTACGCAATAGATGAAGTAAGAAAACACAAACTTGCCACATCAAGATTAAAGTGGCTTTTAAATGTTACAAATGAAAAGGCCATTCATTTAGTACTTCACACATTGTTTAAACCTGGTGAAACAATATTGAACGATGCAAGTGAATTCTATGATAAACACGTGCAAGGCAAACAACTGGTCTGTAGTCACATCCGAATGGGCCGAAATCCAAGTATACCCTCAGATGCAGCTCTTAAAGTATCTAATGGAACTTTGCTTCTTCAGTTTTTAAAGTATTTCGAAGAAGAAGTGCAAAACGCTATATATGTTGCCTCCGACTCGGAAGAAATAAAACAACTTGCTAGAAAAAATTTAAAATCATATATCAACATTAATCGAACAATAGTTCATGTCGACAGACTTGGAAAATTAAAAGCTATAAAATCAGAATCTTGCAAAGGATTGGCAACAGCTATTTTAGAACAGTTTATACTGTCATTATGCGATATCTTACTCATAACTCAAAGCGGGTTTGGTACCATGGCAGCATATATGAGAGGTTTAGACGACAATTTGTTTATTTTTCACCCTAAAACACGTACTATAGTCAAATCAGATTTGGTGAATGTGCAAAGAGTGTTTAAATTTCATTAGAAATATACTGAAATTCATTCAAGGGTACAACTGAAGCATTTCAAAAGGGACACAATCTATGATTAAAAATATAATGATATAGAAAGAGTGTTTTCCCTTTAACCATTAAAGATGTCATTGAGATAACAGTCAGTTTGATGGCTTTTCAATTAAATGGATTGATTATTTTTTGTAGCTATTTACAATTATGTAACAGCATGAGTTGTATTGACTTTTTTATGTTTGGACTTCTGTAATGAATGGACAAGGATAAGTTACGTCATCGAGCACCTGCAAACTTCTCCCAATTGGACTGTTATCCCGTCCAGTCGAAGACAAAATATTCTTTATTCGAATATCAAAAAATAATGTAGGGCACCAAAGATTGGCTTAAGAACTTGATACAACTGTAAATTTTATTGTCTGCTGGAATAACTTTTGTGTGGGAGTATATGTAGAATTAAAAAAAAACTTTATCCCGCATTCAGGACTAATCTAGGCAGTAAACTTTAAACGTTTTTACAATTATATCAAGTACTAAAGGCAGTCTTTGGTGCGCTATATTCTAACGATTTCTTAGAAAAATAACATAATGTTTTTATCATTGAGTCGACGACTTGTTTACAAAAAAAGAAAATAGTCCGATTGGGAGCATTTTGCAGGTGCACGATGACGTAGTATATCCTACCATTGGTAAGGATTTTGTCTCGCATTTGTCATACATTACTTTTTTTGTTTATTTAGCTAGTCATAATTGTATTCTTTTATTGTGATATTAGTGATTTTTGACTGTTATTTTTCTGTTTGTTTGTTTGTTATAACCAGTTGCATATCATATGCATTGGTTTAATAAAAACTGAAACTGAGTTATTTTATAAACCAATCTCATATCTGAGTTCAATTTTTTTGCACATTGTTTTGTTATAATTTGATTTGCAGGGAGAGTAATGAGTGTCTTTGTGGTTTCACAAATCGTTAAGTCTGATATCAATGTATTTTCTGAAAATATTAAAGACATAATATGCTAATCTTTTGGTAAAATATCTTTATTGTAGAAATTTATTGAAATGTGTAAAACTCTTATTGAATATGTCTTAATTGAGTAAAAGAGCATACACACTATGTGTGGGAATCTGCGTTTCCTTATTAGGGGTCATGTAAAGCCGGTCCTTTAAAAACAACTGCCAGTTTATTTAATGACACTATTCATATTGTGTCAAGTTAAAGTATGTAGGATTTAAAGCATAACATATCTACTTTGTGTGATTTATTTTATATTTACAGAAAGACCGTGTAGCAGTTATCAATATTTTCAAGTATCAAATCTGAGCATAGTATATCTTTAAATATGATAATGTATAAGGAACTAAGCCGCCTGAATGTTTGGAATGATTATAGATTTATTTCACAAATACATACACAAACTGTTAAATATATACAAATGATGTAAACTATGTATGATTTATGATAACTTGTGCTATTTGTGAATGTTGAATTCATTGTATGCTAAGAATGTAATAATCAAAACCATGTTTATTTTAAATGTTCAGTACAATTGCCCCTTTTTTTAAAAGAACAAATCTTACACTGTTTTGACAATAAGAGGCTAAACCTACAAAATCCATTTTTAGAAAGTGGTTAATTGAATGGGAGTAACAAATATTTCTTATAAGGACATTTCAAGGATTTGATTCTCAAAACAGACGATGTTATGGGCTGTCTGGCATCTAATTTGTTTTATGTTCAAGATTAAATACTATTTGAGCTTGAGCTAATTGAAGTGAAATATTTGCAATTTTTATTTACATTTATAAACAAACTATAACAAATAACTCAAATTTCCAAATGCTATGTGGTGTGAGTGTGCGCGTGTGCCCGCGCGTTTTTTGCGTGCGTGAATTTTTCTTTCTTTTTTTTTTACTTTTCTTTTTGTTGTTATTGTTGGTTTTTGTTGTTTGTTAAAATCATGTAATTTTTATTGTTCCTGACAGATTTATTTGGAAAACATTTATAAATATTTCTGAAGATAATACCCGTATTTGTTTGTTTCAATGTAAAATCCAAGACGGATCTAAGTATCTATTGTGACTCAAACGTCAATCCAAACAGAGACTGATTGTGGAAAAAAGTGAAGTTTTGCTTGCGGTCTTCTAAAATACGGAATATCGTTAGGGTCATCGCGGTTATATGTTGGTATCCGGAGGGCGACAATGCGATAGTGTGATGGCAGCAATGCGATGACGTCAGTACGATAATTCGATAACGTGATAGTATTATCACATTGTTGTATTGTCGCCATCGCATTTTTACACTGTCGTTACCGCACTGTCACAATCGCATAAACGCCATGGTGTTATCGCATTGTCATATTATCGTACTGTCGTTATCGTGTTATCGCATTGTTGCCATCGCAGTGTCGTATTGTCTTCATCGAACTATCGTATTGTCGTCATCGCAGCTCTCTGGATTTTAAACGTATAACCACGATGGTCCTAACCGTATTCCGTACCTAAAAGGGTTCTATCAATAAAAATGTTTTACAAATTAAGAAAAATTATAAAAAACAAAATAAGAAAGATAAGCAAAACTGTAACAACGACATTTGATATTGGTTTCCTCGCTGACGTTATTTGGCGCAATGTTTATTATATCCTGTCATTTGTGTGTTCAAAACACAAAACAGACCAATTTAATTTTGTAAGTACCTACTTATAAACTTTAGCCTATACTTAGTGTATCACAGAATGACGGACAATGCTGTTCTAAAAGCGCTGAACTGGATTCTTTACACGCTTCTGTCCTTATTTCATCTACTATCCAAACATTTCCTCGTGAATTATTGTCCGACTGACATAGTAAAAAAAATTGAAATAATTTGTGATTTAAACAGCTTTTATCCTAATATAAAATATTTACACGTTGTGTTTTCAAGGAATGTTCGGAATTCCTATAGATATGTAAAATATTATTAAAAGTGATCCATTACAATCATGTATTAAATATTTATGTAAAATAATCAAATAACCATGAGAATTGTAGATGTACATTGAAATTCGTGTTATCCAAAATCGAGTAAACCGGTATACCATATAGCCAGGCATAATATTATTAAACGTGATTCATTACAATCCCGTATTAATTATTTATGTAAAAGAATAAAACAACCATGAGCAGAAGCTATAGATCTACATTGCAATTCGCGTTATCCAAAATCGAGTAAACCAGTATACCATATAGCCGGGCATAAAATTGCAAATAATGTTACATTCGGTAATGCTCTCGATAAATTACATGCAGGCATTCTCTTTAAATGGATTCACCCTTCTGTTAGAACTGTTACAGGAAAAATGTATTTCAGAAGGCATCCGTCAATTCACATATCTTCTGAACTTTTTATGCTTAAAGGGTATAACTTTTCATGTTTTTGATGTATTCGAGTGAAGCGGAATATGTGAAACTTATAATCTTATTCTTGTATTTGAGAAAAAATATTCCCTCAAGTTCTGGGCAGCTTGTTCATCCTTTCCTCGGTAGTAGTGAATATTTTCAACCGCGTAAAACGAAAAATGTAAAACAACTTATCGTGTTTATTCTTCGAGTTAAATGGGGAAAATATTCCGCACGAAAACTGGACATTTCGTTCACGTATTTGTCAACCATCAGAATCACACTAATGAATATATATACGACTGCACTAAACTGGACATTTTTGTTGAAAATTTTAACTAATAATCATCTTATGTGTACGCAAAATAGATCGGACATGTGAGTCAAAATGTTCCCCGTAAGTTTTGGACAATTTGTCAACCTTCCGCACCGTTCAACTGAAGATTCTCCATTGCGCAAAACTTATTAATTGCTGCTGAAAAGTAACTAAAAATGTGCTTATAGTATATTTAAGCGAAGTAAATCGGAAACGTTGTGTGAAAAAAAATGTTCTCATAAAGCACGGGGGTGATACCCTAAATGTATCTCAAAAATGAGCATCGATCAAAATTATATGTGTATTTCCGCTGCACCAGATGTGAAGCATAACACCAGATGTGACTGTAAAAATAGAACAATCGCAGGGTAAGTTGTCATCTTTTTAAACATTTATTTAAAATTCAATCCTTTTTTTAAGAAAATCGAAATGTGATTCTACCCTCCTGACCCACCTCTATATTACCAATTTTTGTTTTGGATTTCTATGCAGTCTTCGTCGAGATATTCTTTCCGTCGTGGGTTCTGTTTGTCCAAAACATGCATGCAATGTTAATGAAGAAATTGTCACTAAACGAACTCAAAAAAACAGACCGATGCTTAACATTCAGATAAATCCTGATTTAAACATTTATTGTTTTGGCTACAAACGAAGGGAATCGCTGCTCAAAATTGCATTTGAGCTCCATATGTGCTAAAAAAAACCCATATGAGCATAATATATAAAATGATAGCAACATAATTACGCATTACTTTCATATAGCAAGCTATAATTTATTCTGTTGTGTATCATTCTGTAATAAAAACATTATTATCCGAAATAGACACATTGTCACGAGACGAGCTTGAATAGCATAGTATCCATATAGAAAATAGATAAGACATTCTGCATACGAAAGGTTTTGAAAGTATGGGAAGGCATTCGGAACTGCCTCGGCTATTATCTATAATTACCTCGGAAACAATACGGATTGAAAGTAGTTCTACCACGTGGTTTCAGATGTAAACAGAAACAGAGATAATGTAAAACTAATGTATATATTTGACATCTAATGTCTGTTTCGGTACAATTATGCTTGAAAATATGTCTGACAACAATTTGTAATTTAAATATGCCCACTGATGTTCAGTTTAAACAAATCCGACTTATTGTCAACAGGTTGGCTTGTTGTACAACCATAATAATTAATATATAAATAATGTATTGTTTGCTTTTGTGCCTATGAATTCACTTATTGTAGGTTGTCTTTTACTACATATATTGGAAATAAACTTGTCAACAACTCCCAGCATTAAATTACTACTTGTTTACATATTTAATTTCTTAGTGTAGGTTAGACCGAAATACTGCATCCTTTCTATGTATTCATACTATTGTGTTCCAGGTCCTTATCCGAAGATTGACGGAAAGGGCCGAGTAGTTGTGATTGGGTGGAAAGGCCTTGCTTATTTTGATTTATTGACATTATTTGCTGCAATCATTACCTTTTTTGCCGTCATACATTATTTAATTAACTGTCCGGGAATTGTTATGACCCTGAAAGAAGTTAGTGATAAACTTTTTGAAAAAGATCAAAGAAACTTTGCATATTTATTATCTACATCAAGGAATGTCCTTGCATAATATTTACATGGTTTACTTCATGCCCATAGTCGCAATTATGGTCAATGCCTATTTGATTTATTTTATGCCTGCTCTGTCACTGATATAAATTTAAAAATCCATCTTTTGGCATGCCATTAAAATGCTAATGAAACGGCGGTTAGCGTAATACTGGCGCGTCCCAATTATTTACAGCAATGTTTTTCTGTGTCTTTGGTCATCCAACCAATCAGAAACACCAAAGATACATGTACTTCTGATTGGCTTATATGGTGTGGGGTTTTCAATATCGGTCATTGGCACGTTACATAAAAAGTAACCGAGGTTCCAAGTGGGGAATTTAATTTATGAAAAGAAGCCAAATATAAATTGAAATTTTATGTTTATTAAAATTCTCATTTCATTTTCATCATAAAACAGTTATAATATATCAACTATTATGTAAAATATCATGACCCGGGGCGGCATCTCGGATTTTCCTTACAGACAATGTTCTCGGCCCATATTCTGTAAAGAAAAATCTTCGATGTCGCACCAGGCCATGATTTTTCCACATAACAGTTTGCTATAACTATAACTTGTGGAATATAAAAGTGATGGATATTTCTATGAATGTAAACATTATTATTGAAACATATTATATGACATGATAGCTTTACAAAGTTCAATACTTTCAGTTTGGTTTGTCCAAGTTACATATCCTTAATTAGTGAATTGTTTATCATACGTGTCACCGGCGTGTACTATCCGCTCTGTGTCAATATTTTCATGTACTCGGGCCTTTCAGTATTTCTAATGCTAGCTGCTAGCATAAGCTAGTGAGCCCTCTCATTGTGATGATCAAATACACTTATGTTATTATTGAACTTTCATCCAAAGCTACGAAACCTAAATTGTTTCTTTACATTGGCTATTCAAGGCTTATATGGAAGTGGTCCGTAGTTTTGTAGATGGTTTTCTACATCACTTATGGATCTCTTCAGCACATATGAAGCTCAAGTGCAATTTCGAGCAGCGATGCCTTCGTTTGTTGCCAAATCTCAAAAAATATTTAAATCAACATGTGTCTGAATGTTAATCATCGGTCTGTATTGATATTTCGTAAAATCTATGGTTCTTTTGAGTCCGTTTAGTGACATTTTCTTCATTCACATTGCATGTTTTGGACACACCAGAATTCACGACGGAAATAATATCTCGATGAAAACTGTATATATATCCAAAACAAAAATTGGTAAGATAGAGGAGAGTCAGGAGGGTAGAACCACATTTCGATTTTCTTAAGAAAGGATTGAATTTTAAAAAAATGTTAAAAAAGATGAAACCTTCTTTTACGGTCACATACATATGTGGTTCCAGCCCAATGATAGTACCTACAGTACTAATTCGGTTCATAAATACACGATTTCCTATATCATATGACGAAGAGTATTTTCGAAAGAGATTTTTATTCTTAAGTATTCACGCACGGGAACTTATTCGGTTATGTTTAGTTTTTAAGGTAAACATTTAACTTCCGGTTAAATTATATTTGTGTGACTTGTTTGTTTATCAGAAGAAGAACAGAACAGAACAGAACAATACTTTATTATCTCAAATCAAAAGACATATGAGATTACAGAGTAAATGCAAATTTCAAAACACATGACATGTGGTGTATGCAAACAGTATTATAAAGCGATATTTTCAGTAAATTTAAATATTCAGTTATTATAATAAGTACATTGATGAGGGGAGTGGGGGGGGGGGCGATGCGAGAATTATTCCGAAC